TATCTAAAGTTAATATGATAACAAGTAATTTCATTATATAAGGTGAAGATAATATGATAATATGTAAAGTTAATATGATCATATTTAAAGTTGATATTATACTCTGTAAAGTTAATATAATAACATGCAAAGTTAACTGAATAATATGTTAAGTTAATATGATAACATTTGAAGTCATTATGATAACATACAAAGTTATGACTGATTATAGCACTAACAATGCCTTATGAATCAGGACCAGTGTGCAAAATAGTTTCCAAATTTTGCAAGCCAGTTGTGCGAACTGCCTGAAAGTAACTAGCCCACAGAATAATTCACTAGTCCAAAATTTGAATGTAGACATAGGTTTCATCATTAAGCTGCTAATATGATGAACATTTTTTATCAGGCCATAATCTTGCATAACTTAAAAGTGAGTTATAACTTAGTTTAAACTTAGTTTAACTTTTAGTTATAAAGAAGTCGGAGAGAGTGATATATTTACAAAATGACCCCATGAAAATTCACTAGCCAGTCGGGCCAGTGGCGGTGGAGATTTACTTGCCTGACTGGATTTTTACTAGCCATGGGCTAGCAGACAAGTGGCTTTTTTTGCACACTGATCAGGACACACATCTTTTCCTCCAGTGTGATACCTCTCTGATTGGAGATCAGAGGATGCTTCCATAGGAGCTCATGTTAGGTAAACCTTCTGTGAACACTGACCGACGAATATGAATAAATGATGCATCATTGTTTTTCTTATGAACAGGAAAACACCTCAGGTCATAATGTATAGGAAATACACCCTTTTTGGGTGCAGATTAACAGGGATTGGTGATTAGCAAGGACATATGGAAGCCGGGAGTTAACTTGGAACTGATTGGTCATGAGCAATGGGAAAATGGAAGCCAGGAGTTAACATAGCAGTAATTGGTCATGAGCAATGGACAAAAGGATTCCTCAAAATAAAGAAGTTGCTATCCATAAATCCCTTCTTATGTTTATCACTTCTAAATGCCATTCAAAACTTGTGTCAAATTGAGATGCTTGGCCTGTGTTACTCCATGTAAATGAAAAAGCCAACAGGTTGTAGAAATGTGTGAGTGAGTGAGTATGGTTTTACGCTGCTTTTAGCAATATTCCAGCAATATCACGGCTGGGGACACTTGAAATGGGCTTCACACATTGTACCCATGTGGGGAATCTAACCCAGGTCTTCAGTGAGACGAGTGAACGCTTTAACCACTAAGCTACCCCAGAGCCCTTGTAGAAATGAATTTTATTCAGCATTCTTTGTAAAGTAAACATAATCCTGAGTGATAATACCGTCTATCAGGCTGATACAACGAGTGAGTATGGTTTTACGCTGCTTTTAGCAATATTCCAGCAATATCCACCAGAAATGGGCTTCACACATTGTACCCATGTGGGGAATCGAACCCGGGTCTTCAGCATGATGAGCGTACACTTTGACTGTTCGGCTACCTCACCACCTCAGGCAGACACAAGGTCTGTCAGTAACTTTGCTGTACTGTACACATGAGACATGATGACTTTGGCTGCAGTAATTTCACAGAAGTGACAGATGGATTAGGACAAGCGTGATTAGGTGATAATGCGAGTAGATTCTGGCGTTACATCATGGCAAGGGAAATAATAGAGAAAGAACTACACAAATTGTATCCTTTTTGGGAAATAAACCTCAAACCAAGGCTTAATGAGTGAATGGATTAAAGCACAAGGTTACCCAAGGGTGTATTATTCTCGACATCTGGCAGTGATAGATGCTGCTGCTGCAGCTGCCATTTCCTCATCTCTAAGTAGAACACTGCATCAGACATGGAATATCAAGAGATTCTGCTTGGTGTGCCCTGCTCCAGTACATCCCTCTGAACAACTGGGGATAATTCTGTATGTAATTGATATCTTCGTAAGCGCCAAAGACCAAAAGTATACATGACTGTCTATGGTTGCGTGTGGACGTAAAGTGCAGAAGGGTTGTCATTGTCTTGTAACTAGAACTGAAGTTTTTTTATCACAACACACTGCCATACACACATCTACAGGTTCGTCCCCAGCATTATGACATCTGGAGTTTACCCTCTGGTCATATGAAGCAGAACTTGAGCTAACTTCAGCTAGACGTAGGCTTGAACAAGAAGTCAAATCCAAACTACCATTTGAACAATACACTGGAGTCAGACATAACAGAATGGATAATATGACAGTACCAAACAGTGTTCACTGCCAGAAAAAAACGGAATATCACTGAGTGTAATGAAAGTTCTTCAGAACTCAGAATACTTCAGAACTGTGTATACTAGCTGACCTTTGAAGGAACATCAGGAGAAAGTGGTTTACTTGTTGACTATAATGGCACCGTGATACTGGTTAACGCATCAAAAATGGTGTTTGATGCTTGGCCTGTGTGATGTGTGGTGAAAGACGTTGTCAGGAACTCACAATGGCTGCTTATACAACCGTAAAACTGAGTTAGGGAACCTTTACAAAGCTTGAAATGACCACATTATTTACTTTCAAACTTTTTACCATTTGCTGAAAGAAAATAGAGCTGATACTGTTACTTCAACAACAGTGGTTGGGATAACATATCCTCGGAGATCAAAATAGGATTGTTTGTGTTTATTTGTTGGTTTGGCTGGGGTTTTTAGGCTGAATTCAGCAACATGTAATACACCTAAAATCATGTATGTGCTAACAGAGGTCAGAACTGAAAATCCAGTGATTGATATTGTGAGCAAGTATCCATGCTCTGAATACAGAATGTCTTTTAGAAAGTGGTCAAGTGTTTATGTTTGAATACCAGATGGAACCCAACCCCCAAAGTACTAGAATCTGTACCTTACTGAGACATTGTAATCCCAATGTAATATCTGTAACATGAAACCGTCCATGTTGGGACACAATGACATGTCTTCAATGAAGTCATCGACCACCTGATCCATCTGGCAGCAATGCAGCATTTGTTTCTGGGACCAACAGAAACCAGAAAGCCCCAATACTAAACTATATTCATGCAATTTTATGGTGATTTCTAAACAGTCAGCTAATTCAGCCACTGATAAAAAAATAGATAAGCAAAACCAATTCTTATGAACATGGAGAAGATGTTTTCACCTCTTTTTCTGTTATGCTGTGACCGCCTCCATGGTGTAGTGGTTAGAGCATCCGCCCGGAGAGCGGAAGGTCGCGGGTTCGATCCCCGGCCGCGTCATACCAAAAGACGTGAAAATATGGTACTTGTTGGTCTCTGCCTGGCGCTCGGCATTAATGGGTACAACAAGGACTGGTCGGCTCGGAGTCTGTATAATGTGTCTGAGTGGGGTATTTATGCTTAACTGGGGTGTGGTATCTCAGTGAGCTAGCACTATAAAACCAGCTTATTTCAGATGATTTGAATTTACCAGGTAATGAGTGTACTTGAAATGCAAGTCATTCTGTACATGTAATTTAACATGTGAAACAATTCTGACAAACAGACATGCATACTTAAATGGTTTCCAGTCCTTAAGCCTGACCACCCCATCTGTTTAACCCAGAATCTCCCAGTACCCACAGAAGAGGTGCTTAACTTGTCATATAATGCTAAACAGAGAAGAGAAGGTTCACAAGGCTGTTGAGAGTGAGTGAGTTGGGTTGTACACCACTTTTAGCAGTATTCCAGCAATATTAGGTGGGGATACCAGAATGGATTTGACATAACGTACCCAAGAGGGAAATTGAACCTGACCCTTCGGTGTGATGAGCGAATGTTTTAACCACAAGGCTACCCCAATGTCCCTGGTTGTTAAGAAGGGCATCATATTGATTGGTGAGCAGCTGACAAGACCCTCTGTTAGATAAATATCATGTGGTTTTTGCAAATTGTTTTAATGAGCATTCAATTGTAAAATACCTGATAACTTTTCTAAAAGACATAATATTTATCAAAATTGTAAAATTCAAAAGTTACGGGTCTTTTTCTGAAGCAGACTAACTGTTTGTAAACTCTAAAGTTATGAAACAAGTAGGATGTCACTCTGAGTGAGTGAGTGAGTTTAGTTTTATGCTGGTTTTAGCAATACCACCCTGAAATGGCCTTCACACCCCTCTGGAATGTGATGACATCATGATACGATGGATGAAAACAATGGAATCAACTTCATGAACATGTTGACCAAAAAAATGGTTGTCTTAAGCTTAAAATCAATGGTTGCTCATCATCTGAAGTTTCCATCCTGACATTTTCCCCTTAATCAGTAATATATAATCACAAACCAAAACACATTTCCCTAAATTCAACAAGTCTATGTTTGTTTTGAGTCTAATGGACAGTATCAGCTAATGCCACAAATAAACATGTCGGCATCTTCACACTCAGCATCAAATCTCTTCCAACACCCAGTACTAATCAAAGACATTTGGTTGTGATTTTAAAAATAAATAATATCATGACACTATTTTCTTGGCAAACACATTGGCAACCAGATCCACGTCATAAAATCCATCCTTGTTCACTGAATATTGTTAACAACGAAAGGAATCTGCTCACAAAAACAAAAGTCGGCAATAAAAAGCATTCTTCTAGTTGTTAGGAAATCATTACTGACAGACTGATGAGCACGATGTCTTTTGGTGTCTGTTTCAAGGGAATGTAATTGTACATGCTCGCATAAGGTTATGGGGTGTAATAGTCCCATTGTACACATCAATATTGAAGCCAAGCATTATTGAAATTAGGCCACAGTATGGCGTCCTCTACTTCAAAGTGAACCAAGAACAAAGAAGATGTCATTCAACAACTGGCAAAGAAAACGAAAGAAAGGGACATAAATAAGGAATAACTGTAATGTGAGAATCAGGGGTGGGAATATGTCTGCTGAAGCAAGTGGACCCATCATTTGCATTATGGGTTGAGGTGAGATTGATGAGTCAGTGATTGTGGACGCTCCGATTGGAATTGAAATATTAGGTTGAGAGAGGGATGATCGCTGTAAGTGAAAAAGGAAGTGGGCAAGATGGATGAAAAGGTGGTGTTTGAACTCCTTAGGGAATATCTGAATCTGAGCAAGAACAGGAACTTAAGGAGTTGACAGAATATGTTTGGTAAGGGGTTTCATTGCTTATTTGTTTGTTGTTTAACAAACTCAGCAATATTCCAGCTATATGTCAGCGGTATGTAAATAGTCGAGTCTGGACCAAGCAATCCAATGATTGACATCATGAGCACCAATCCACACAATTGGGATACGAAGACATGTGTCAATCAAGTCAGCAAGCCTCACCACCCGATCCCGTTAGTCACCTCTTATGACAAGCATCGGTTGCTGAAGACCAATTCTAACCTGGCTCTTGACGGGTAGTAACGGATTCAAGTACAAGACCATCGAGACCTTCAAGAACATCACATGTATATATCTATATATATATATATATATGTGCAGTGATTGCCAAGAACAAGAACACTGTTTACCAACACCACTTTAGCTGTTGATTTTCAGCATATTTCAGAAATTTTCTCAGGACTCAACTGGATGTTCTTATATTCAAGGTGACTGCAACTGGCAAAAGTCACTGATCATATGTCTTGTGGGACTTAGTTGGAATGAGATTTCAGTATTTTTCCACCGATATCCTTTCATGAGCACAGAGATTAGCCTTACACTTTGTCCCCAGCAGGAATCAAACCAATGTTTTCAGGATCTTCATCTAATGATTGAACCACTAGACTGCGATACTACCCTGAAGGGTTAGAAGAGTTGCTTAACATTGAAGAGAAACATTAGCATGTTATATACAATCAGTTTGTCCAAGATTCAAATGAATTGTACCTACAGGCATACATAAAGACATCAAAGAACAATAATTATGTGGTCAAGACGTGTGGTCAAGAATGCCATGTGCAATAATTGTACCTCAGAGCTACCAAAATCAGTAAGTGAATGCTATTTAACTCTCCTCGCAGCCAGATTCTTACTGTATAACAGCCATACTATACCAGCAAGTCCATCAGCCATACTATACCAGCAAGTCGACCAGCCAGTCGACCAGCCATATTATACCAGCAAGTCGACCAGCCATACTATACCAGCAAGTCCACCAGCCATATTATACCAGCAAGTCGACCAGCCATATTATACCAGCAAGTCCACCAGCCATATTATACCAGCAAGTCGACCAGCCATATTATACCAGCAAGTCGACCAGCCATACTATACCAGCAAGTCGACCAGCCATATTATACCAGCAAGTCGACCAGCCATATTATACCAGCAAGTCCACCAGCCATACCAGCAAGTCCCAGCCATATTATAGCCATATTATACCAGCAAGTCGACCAGCCATATTATACCAGCAAGTTGACCAGCCATACTATACCAGCAAGTCGCAAGTCTTACTATACCAGCAAGTCCACCAGCCATATTATACCAGCAAGTCCACCAGCCATATTATATCCATATTATACCAGCAAGTCGACCAGCCATATTATACCAGCAAGTCAACCAGCCATATACCAGCAAGTCCACCAGCCATACTATACCAGCCAGTACTATACCAGCATATACCAGCAAGTCCACCAGCCATACTATACCAGCAAGTCCACCAGCCATATTATACCAGCAAGTCCACCAGCCATATTATACCAGCAAGTCGACCAGCCATATTATACCAGCAAGTCCACCAGCCATATTATACCAGCAAGTCCACCAGCCATACTATACCAGCAAGTCGACCAGCCATATATACCAGCAAGTCCACCAGCCATACTATACCAGCAAGTCCACCAGCCATACTATACCAGCAAGCCATACTATACCAGCAAGCCACCAGCCATACTATACCAGCAAGTCCACCAGCCATACTATACCAGCAAAAGCCATACTATACCACCAGCCATATTATACCAGCAAGTCCACCAGCCACCAGCCATACTATACCAGCAAGTCTCACCAGCCATACTATACCAGCAAGTCCACCAGCCATATTATACCAGCAAGTCGACCAGCCATACTATACCAGCAAGTCGACCAGCCATATTATACCAGCAAGTCCACCAGCCATATTATACCAGCAAGTCCACCAGCCATACTATACCAGCAAGTCCACCAGCCATACTATACCAGCCATATTATACCAGCAAGTCCATACCAGCAAGTCCACCAGCCATTATACTATACCATACTATACCAGCAAGTCGACCAGCCATACTATACCAGCAAGTCGACCAGCCATATTATACCAGCAAGTCCACCAGCCATATTATACCAGCAAGTCCACCAGCCATACTATACCAGCAAGTCGACCAGCCATATTATACCAGCAAGTCCCAGCCATATTATACAGTCCACCATTATACCAGCAAGTCGACCAGCCATATTATACCAGCAAGTCGACCAGCCATACTATACCAGCAAGTCCAACCAGCCATATTATACAGCAAGTCCATATTATACCAGCAAGTCGACCAGCCATATTATACCAGCAAGTCCAAGTCATATTATACCAGCAAGTCATCATATACCAGCATACCAGCAAGTCGACCAGCCATACTATACCAGCAAGTCCACCAGCAAGTCCACCAGCCATATTATACCAGCAAGTCCACCAGCCATATATATACCAGCAAGTCCACCAGCCATATTATACCAGCAAGTCCACCAGCCATATTATACCAGCAAGTCCACCAGCCATATTATACCAGCAAGTCCACCAGCCATATTATACCAGCAAGTCCACCAGCCATACTATACCAGCAAGTCCACCAGCCATACTATACCAGCAAGTCCACCAGCCATATTATACCAGCAAGTCGACCAGCCATATTATACCAGCAAGTCGACCAGCCACACAATACCAGCAAGTCGACCAGCCATACTACACCAGCAAGTCCACCAACCATACTATACCAGCAAGTCGACCAGCCACACAATACCAGCAAGTCGACCAGCCACACAATACCAGCAAGTAGACCAGCCATATTATACCAGCAAGTCGACCAGCCATATTATACCAGCAAGTCGACCAGCCATATTATACCAGCAAGTCGACCAGCAAGTCGACCAGCCATATTATACCAGCAAGTCGACCAGCCATACTATACCAGCAAGTCGTTGACAGCAGTAATGCCTAATGCTGTCAGTGTACAATGGCTACCGAGCCTGACCAAATGACCCCATTATGTCATCTTGGTCAGCTGCTGAAGCTGGTCATGTGTATATGTGCATCCGTGCTTGATCAAGAAATCTCACAAGAGGGACATGAATTGCATTTGAAGAGAGAAAAGTAAACCCTAGTTTGTAGTACAAAAATGTCAAAGCTTCCAGAAAGTGACATCTACCGGGAACGCCACAGATGAAAATGGCACAGTGAAGACTTCTTGGTGAAAAGAGGATTGACAAATGGATGCAAACTGACTTTGAAAAAGGAGATTCAATGAAACTAATTCAGCTTTGTTGAAGAAGAAGTTTCCGGAAGAACACTCTGACAGTCCAGAAGGTTTGACAGTACATTAGAGTGTAAATCCAGAAGAGCTTGTAGAATATTCAGGCTTAGGAAGCAGGGAGCAAGAAAATGGCAGTTTTTGAGATTGTAATACACAAGTGAGAATATGGGCAGTCTGGTGTTAAAATCAAATGAGCCTTCTAATCTCGGACATGGGAATAATTGAACATTTATATTAATTACTGGAACATGTACGACAGTAAAGCTGTGTACAAGACAATAACGGGATACAATGATGAATCATTAAATATGAGGCAATTCGCTTCTAAAGAACAAAGGCATGGGCAGCTTCTTTGTAATAAAGGAAACGTGATAAGAATTGTTTATGCATCATAAAAGCTGGAATGGATGACTTCAAAGTGAGAGTTTTGCATCCCTCTTGCATAATTGATTTCATTTTCTTCTCGCCTAACGTATCACAAAGGGAACCAGATGACCCTCCTAATGATGCAAAAATGACTACAGTCGACTGATTGGTCAATCATTCATGTCGTCGGATGAAGCGAAGGCATAAAATAGAAAGTGTGGACATCAACTAAGAAGATTTTAATCATTTCTAAAGAAATCGCCTCTAATTTGTAGTTGTAAATTTCATGTTATTTAGTAACAAATCATTAATGAAAAGATCTGATCATAATTAATGTATTGCAAATGTCTTTCTAGACACTAACAAAAGAGTTAGCAACTCCTTACCTTACATGAACATTTCTGAAATTTTTGCAACATTTACTGCGTAAATGAATTCAAGTAAAGATCAAATGTTATGCTATTACTTTTTAAATGGGGAAAAAAACAGTTAATAGGCACTAAAGTTCAGCTTGATTATTTATATTTAATAACATGATATTTCAGAAATAGACACAGATATACATGTACTTTCTGTATGCTGAAAATTAAAGCTAGCAAACATGACCAAATTTGTTTCTCAAATTTTAATCAAGCTTAGTTGAAGTGATTGAGTATGGTTTTACGCCGTTTTTAGCAATATTCCAGTAATATCATGGTGGAGGACACCAGAAATGGGCTTCACACATTGTACCCATGTGGGGAATCAAACCCGGGTCTTCAACGTGATGAGGCTACCCCAATGAGGCTACCCCACCGCTCCAGCTTAGTCGAAAGAGCTGGGGGTTTCAAGAATCTGTACATATACTACAATACATGATGAAAATGTTTGATTTAATCTTCAGTGATTATGGTTAATCACTGGTAATACGATCATCAATGGAAGACATATATTGCATTTGTCAGATAATGTGTCGCTCTTTTTGGACCATTGAGTGTTTGCTAATGTGTTAACGTTCTAGCAATGTCATGATTCAACGATGCAGCGGTGCATCACTGGCAAGCTTTGCACAATACAATACACGATTCATTTGTTTTAGTATTGATTCAAATTTTGACATGTTGCACCGATATTTCATATAAAACAATTCTTTTAAATACAAACAGGACATTAATATAAGTGAACTTTTCATATTTTCCTCTTGTAATATTGTTATACGTAACATCAAATGTGAGTAAACATAGAGAGGGTGATTACACAATGCCATTTAGAAAGTGGTCAAATGCAACATATGTTATATTTGGGATTACACTTTCTCAGTAAAGTACAAATTATAGTACTTTTGGGGGGTTGAGTCCCATCCGGGTTTCGAACCCACACCCTGAGAGTCAGGCACCAATCGCCAGCACACAAAGTCGCGGTGGCACTCAACCCCCAAATAGTACTAGAATTTGTACTTTACTAAGAAAGTGTAACCCCAAATATAACATATGTTGCATGGAGAGTGTGGTTGATGGATACTTGGTGCACTAACAGTTAGTCTCTGAAATGAAAATATCTTACAGAAAAAAAGGTTTTAAATTAAAATAAAATACAATAAAAAGGAGGCCAGATACTTCCTTCATTTCTGAAACTGTGGTAATCTAGACTTGCTACACATTCTAGACTTGCATGGGCTGTATTGGGTATATTTGTTTCAGGGTCTGTATGAGAGACTAGATACTTGGGTGATAGTTTCCCTTCTCTAGTAATCCCTACGACTGTTTCATGACTGATGAGCTATGGTATGAGCTTGCTATCCAGGTAATGGCTGCTTATTACACGCAAAATGTCAGAAAAGTAGTATTGTGATGCGTTTTGTATTTTGACTTCAGAATCAAGGTAGTATCATATCATGAGGCACCTGTATCAAGACATCCCTATATTATTCAGTTTTTCGACCATCATCATGGTCTGGTGGACAGAGAATCTGTACAGAGGAGCGGTGGGGTAGCCTAGTGGTTAAAGTGTTCGCTCATCACCCGAAGAGAGACTAAATACATGGGTGATACTCAGTTTCCCTTCTCTAGTAATCCCTCCCAAAATGTTTGGGGACTGGTCACCTATCCAGGTAATGGCTGCTTGTTACACGCAAAATGTCAGAAAAGTAGTATATTGATGTGTATTGTATTTTGACCTCAGTATCGAGATACGTATCATATTGTGAGGCACCTGTATCCTGACATCCCTATATTATTCACATTGGTACTGACAGTTTTTCGACTATCACCATGGTCTAGTGGATAGAGAATCTGTACAGAGGGGCGGTGGGGTAGCCTACTGGTTAAAGTGTTCGCTTGTCACACCAAAAACTCGGCTTTGATTCCCCACATGGGCACAATGTGTAAAGCCCATTTCTGGTGTCCCCCGCCGTGATATTGCTGAAATATTGCTAAAAGCGGTGTAAAACTCACTCACTCACTGTACAGGAAGAGAAAAGCTGGTCGTTTGATCCCCTGGATGAATCATACCAAGAGAATGGTACTTGTTTTTGCCCTGCCTGGTATCAAAATAAAGAGGATTAAACAAGGACTTATCAGCTCAAAGTCAGTATTATGTGTATCTAGCTAGCATTATAAAATGGGCATTAGTCAATACTAGAACAAGCAATTTTCAAGATTTTGCAACATGTGTTCACTCCATAGACCTTATCTGCTGTATATTCCATTTTCCATGTACATCTGGTATCATTATAACACATTTGGGTCCCATGAAGGTACAGGTTAGAATTGGTCTTCAGCAACCCATGCTTGTCGTAAGAGGCTAGCATTATAAAATGGGCATTTGTTGATACTAGAACAAGCAGTTTTCAAGATTTTTCAACATGTGTTCTCTCCATAAGCCTAGTTTATTGTATATTCCATGTTCTGTGTACATTTGGTGTCATTATTAGATGTTTGGGATCCGTGAAGATCATGTTTAGAATTAGTCTTCAGCAACCCATACTTGTTGGAAGAGGCGATTAACAGGCGATTAACAGGATTGGGTGGTCAGGCTCTCTGACTTGGTTGACACATGTCATCATATCCCAATTGCGTAGACCGATGCTCATGATGTCAATCACAGGATTATCTGGTCCAGGCTTGATTATCTACAGACCACCTCCACATCACTGCCATTTTGCTGGGTGTGGCGTTAAACTGAAAACAAACAACATATTTAAAAATGTGTTTTTGAATTTGGATACAAGCTATGTATGCATGTAGTAATGGATCACAGTAATCGGGGGGTGTAGCACACGAGTCCTGTAAACATTTCTAAACATTTGAGCTACTTTCCATAGATAAAAGACAAAAACTTAAAACTAAAATCTCACAAAAAAGGCATCTAAAAATCAATTAAATATAAAACATAATGTGACACATTCTTAAGACTGAGACCGGAATACTAAAATTCTACATTTCTTTCTGTAACCCTCAACTAGGATGTTTGAGGAGCATCTTCAAAAACCGACAAATTTGCAAAGACATTTTCTGCAAAAATCTGCATCCTAAAAGCCAATCCATCTCAGTGCATTTCCGTCTGCCCTGAAATGTACACCTGACAAACGATGCCTATTTCACCGACAGACAGCGAACATGACAGTGTACCACAGCACAATGTCGTCGCAAAAGTCATCAATCATTTCCTCTCAATAAAGCATCACATGAACACTCCACCGAGAAATGCCTATTTGTTCCACCTTGGGGTTTTTAGCACTAATTAACACCAAACCATACCATTTTTGACATGCCAGGAAGCCAACCCTAAAATGTATTTTTTGTCTTCTTTTTATAAGTGCCTGAATCTGGTCATTAATTGACAAGTGAGGCAAAGAAATACACGTCAAGGAAACCTCGTGATTGCGTTGATTTCAACACTAACCACGGGGTATCATCATTGGTATTATTTTCTTATTATCATTATGGATAGAATAAAATGGCAGGGGGGAATTGTCAGCTAAGCTGAGTTCCTTGTGGCATATGTTCAACAATGGTCTTGTAAAGGTTGGAGAAAAAAGGAATCAGCGAATCAATATTAGTTCTAATATCACGCAGCTTGAAATCTTATTTCTTCAAGCTATTGGATATAAAGAGAATACTAAATGATGTCCCGTGTAATACCATATTTATGAAACAAGTGAATGGTTTGGTTTCTAATGAGTGAAAGCAAGTTAGATAACAATACCATTCACGATTTTCATAAATATGGTATTACGCGGGGACATCGATTAGTATGTTATTTATTACTCACCCAACATTAGCAAAATAATATCTCAGAATTCAACTTAAAGAAAGAGTGCATTACACTATCATAACAGGGGTCACGCATATGAATACATTCAATTTACAATTGTCAACATTA